CCCATGTGGGTCATCGAATTTGTACAGCAATTTGTCAAATGACATTTAAAAGCGTAGTTTTCGTCCTATATCCTTAAAATTGTGCTTATTGTTAGACGAACGTTGCCCAAAGACAACTCACGCCAATAAGACGCGACTGAAGAAATTAAAAAAAATAATATTTTTTTTCTTTTAATTTTCCTTTTGTTTTTAACACTCTTTATATTTTTATTTACTTACATTTTCCAATTGTTATATTTAACCATTAATGAGAACTGCAGTTCTAAAATTTCCTCATTACATATTCATAAGTGTGTATAGCATTTTTAATTAAAGTGTTTTTCCACATTTTCGTCCGCATTATACCATTTTTACTGGGTGTACAGTTATTGTTTATAATTATTTTGTCTTCAAAACACAACTTATATTTTTTTCAAATTACCAATATAATTTTTAGTACGAATAATTTTCCCCCAAAATTGAAAAACAATTTTTCAGAAATTTTTTCGTTTGTTTTGTTCGCTTATTCTGTTGATGCTCAGGTTGCTAAGCAACAAGTGAATTTTTATAAGATGTTGAGAACAGAAACCAGAAGCAAAAGTGTGAAATCCTTAACCCTGTGAGATATTGACCTGACTGAATTATAAATAATGCAAATACTTACAATTGTATAATTCGTCTTGAAATATTAGTAATTAAATCCTGAAACTATGTCATAGAATTAGTCAGGCGCTTAGTATAGCATCCCACAGTTTGGGGATTAAAAAGGGCATGTACGGAAACAGGAATTTATCCACGTTAAGACTAATGTTATGGTTTTGATTAATTGTGATATCACAATCCAATTCATATGGATTCTCATATCATATATTTTAAATTAATTTAATTAATTTTAAAATCACAATAAGCCACATGAAAAATCTGGCGCTACAATTTCTGTTTACATTTTTTGCGAATGTCAACGAAACAGAAGCCTTTTAATTACTTTTGTTTTCTTGTTATCTCTTTTGCTCGGAACAGCTGATTTGCGCATTACTCATATGTCAGCGTACGGTTTGCAACAAAAATCACTTTTCTCATAAATATTTGGAAATTGTATTGACAAATTATTTAATGTAAAAATGTCTGACGATTTACCAGACAAATTCGATTTGATCGTTATTGGTACTGGATTTCCGGAAAGTTGTGTGGCTGCTGCTGCAAGTCGTATAGGAAAAACGGTGTTACATATCGATCCTAATGAATATTATGGAGGTGTGTGGGCTTCTTTTAACTTGGAATCATTCTGTGCTCTTTTGGAACAAGGCACTAACAAAGAACTACGCAATGCTAGTCAGAAATGGCACGTGGCTGAGACACTTAAAGTGGCGGAAGCAGAATCGGATATGGTCAACTCTGATATTGTAGCAGGCGAGACCAACATAAAGACTGATGCTGCCAAGCAAAGTGTGCTAGACTGGTCGCGTGAAACCTTGCTACAACAATCGCGACGATTCAATTTAGATTTAAGTCCAAAGATTCTCTATTCTGCTGGACGTTTGGTGCAGTTACTTGTATCTTCGAATATTTGTCGCTACGCAGAGTTTCGTGCAGTAGATCGTGTATGCACGCGATTTCAAAATAACATAATCAATGTGCCTTGCTCACGCAGTGATGTGTTCAACACTAAAGATTTGAACATCGTGGAAAAACGACTACTCATGAAATTCTTAACGCTATGCATGACTCATGGTGAAGACAAAACCGACGAAGATGCCTTACAGTTTCGTGGCAAAACATTCCGTGAATATTTGCAGGAGCAGAAAGTTACCGAAAAGATTAGTATATGTGTAATGCAAGCGATTGCAATGTGCAATGATGACACTTCCTTCGAAGAGGGAATGACGCGTACACAACAGTTTCTCAATAGTCTCGGACGTTACGGTAATACACCGTTCCTATTTCCCATGTATGGTTGTGGTGAAATACCACAATGCTTTTGTCGCCTCTGCGCAGTGTTTGGTGGTATTTACTGTTTGAAACGACAAATCGGCGATATCAACATCGAAGCGGATACCAATATAGCGAGTGTGGTACTAGAAGGCAAAACAATAAAAGCGCAACATGTCGTTAGTGCGCCAGGGCATTTGCCTAATGCATTCCTACAACGAAATGTGGGTGTTTATGGGCAAGGTGAATTGGTAAATTCACTCTCTCGTGGTATTTTCTTGACTGCTACACCATTGGGCTCAGAAGAGTTGAATTCCGGTGGAGGAGGCGTAAATCTACTTAGACTTTTGGCGGGCACGCATGAAGCTATACTTATACAGCTTTCGCATTTTTCTGGCACCTGCCCTAAAGGAGTATGTAAGTGTTGACGCCTAAAATTATACACATATTTTGCATACGAAATCATAAATAAAAATTTTCTTAATTTTAGTTCTCTTTCATATTACCACAACTGCGAAAAGCGATCAGCCCGCGCAAGATCTGGCACCTTTTGTTTCACAAGTATTCAATAGCGATGACGAAAATGCGCCAAAGTTACTATACTCAGCTTACTTCACAATTATGGGACGTGAACGTACTTCGGCTACTCCAAACATTGATGTCTCCACGCCGATATTTTGTACCAGCACTCCCTATTATGAATTAGATTACGATAAATCTATAATCAGTGCGCGTGAGATCTTCGCTAAGTTGTACGCAGATGCGGAATTCCTGCCACGTGCACCCGATCCGGAAGAAATTGTGATTGAGGGCGAAGATCCACGCGCGCTGAGTGAAAACAGTTTGCCGGATGATTTGCGTGAACAGTTGCGTGAGTTAGAGAATTCAGCTGAAAATATGGATATTGAAGACACAGATGCTACGCAAGCTGCTGAGTGCATTCAAGAGGATGCGGAAACGCAAAACATGGATGCCGAATAGAAAACTTATGAAAGCGAATGCTATGAAGAAAAATAAATGCTTTTGAAATATTACGCGTACACCACAACCACAAAACTATATTATCGTACCTTTAAGTCATATTATAAATACGCTATATACATTAATACATTAATGTATACTTATTTGCTTTGTATAATTTTTTTTACAAAATTTGAGATTTGCACATAAAATTAAAATTATGCACTACAACGAATGATGTGTGCGTGCGTCTTTCATTGCTTAGTCAAATATTATAGTGAAAACTCTCTAAATATCGATATTCTGAACAGGTTATATTTAGTCTCCATGTATATACGATATTAAGCTCCTCAGTTTTGGAGATATCGATCTGAAATTTCTCAGTTGCCTTTTTCTCCCTAATAAGCGTCTTGTTTGTCGGAATCGTCAATATTGGACAACAATTGTTTGTAGCTGCAATACAAAATGGATGTTCGAAATCAAGTTCTTATATGAAAAGTTTTTTATTTGACGAGATATCTTCACGAAATTTTGTATGAATAATTTTCGAAGACAGCGCTATAATATCCGAAGAAATTTTTCAGATCGGATTACTGTAGCCTATAGCTGTCATACAAACTGAAAGTTCGAAATCAAGTGCTTGTATGAAAAACTTTTTTATTCGACGAGATATCTTCATGAAATTCGGTATGAATTATTTTCCAACGCAGCGATACAATTTCCGATAAAAACGTTTAAGATCGGACCGCTATAGCATATAGCTGCAATACAAACTGAATGTTCGAAATCAAGTTCTTGTATGCCAAATTTTTTTATTCGACGAGATATCTTCACGAAATTTGACAAAAAGTATTCTCCAAGGTAACGCTACAATATCCGAGAAAAATTTTCAAATCGAACCACTATAGCATTTAACCGCCTTTTATGTGAAGTTTATTAAACCATTTTCTTTTTTTTTTTTTTTTGTATAAGCTGCTATTCGAAGACCCAAATTCTAATTCACAACAAATAAAAAACTGTTAAAATAAGTTTAAAAATCTTATTTACATTTTTTCTTTATTTAAAAAATGTTGCATATATGTATATGTATATTTAATTTTGTATATTTATATATACTATATGTGTATATACTTATGTAGTCGTATGTATATTGACTGTAATGAGCTGCTTTCATGCAGTGAATACAAATTTTCTGAAATGCTTTGACGCTGCCAAAGATGTTTTAGTCACGCGAGCTGAGCACAAAAAACGGTAGAACAAGTAAGAAGAAGAAAACAACAAAGCTTAATGTCGTTGAACCACTGCTTATGATACTAAAAAAAAGTTAATATACCATATATAATATTTTAACGCAATACCCAGTCGGAAATGGCGGACTACTTAAATAGAAATTGAAAAAAATATTATATAACAGAAGAATAATCAAAGAAATCATACAAACTATTTGTGACAAAAGCGTAAATGAATAATGCTAAAACGCGAGGTGGATTTTACTAGCCTCATTACACAAAGTGCCGATGCACATAAACAAAATGACGAGTTAAAATTTGAAAACGGTATAATATATTTTTAAATTGATTTTAGGTTAGGGTTGTGAAATCCTACCTATTTTTGTTATATTTATGCAAAAAAAAGAACATTATTTTTAATATGATATTAGGTTGGGATCTCACAACTAAATAATTTTTGTTATATTTGTGAAAAAAAAAAAATATTTTTAAGGTTAGGATCTCACAGCTAAATTATTTTTGTTATATTTATGTACTACTATTCCAACTGGGTGTACGTTTTCGTTCAGAATATTTGATTTTCTTTGTTTCTTGCATACATAATTCGAATACAATTCGGTCTTATTGTTATTGTTAACAGGAGGAGGGCAGAGTGTAATGGCATGCATGAAGATTGCATTGCGTTTGCATACAATTTCATACAGTTTGCCAAAAAAAATTAAACTTTTATCCTATACTAAATATGTGAGCATTCTGTAAACGTTTCTCATTATAAATAATACATACTATATATGTATGTATGTATGGCTATACCATTTGCTGTGATATGCACTGCATTGACGCCAGCACCTTACAATTTTGCTTTTCGTTTACAAATTCCAATTTTCTACACCCATTAAATAATTTGCTTGCTCTACATACACGCATTGCTATAAATTTAACATATTTTTGTTTTGAAATACAATTGTAAAGCTAATGTCGCCACATTGAGGTGGGCGTTATGAGATTTTTTAGGTTTGTTTTTACGGGTTTGTATTACTAAATGAGCATATAAGTGCATTTGCGTCTATTATTATTATTACTAATAGCAATTCGAGTTTTATTACAATTTATAATGTGAGAATTGTATCTATTGCTAATAACTAAATTACAAACAAACATTCATAAATCATTTCGTCAAAGAAATTATCAATTTGTTGCACCCTAAACACAAACAGAAGATAATCTAATTTGATATTGTTTGTTTTGCATAATCGCAAGTGCAGTTGTTGCTTTTTTTAACTTATTTGAGTAACAATTTGTTCGTTATCTCTCTCTCTCTCTCTCTCTCTCTCGCTCTCTCTGTAAGAACTTTCGTGTATTTAAATTTTAATAAGATTATTATTAATATTTTGTTGACGCTTTCGTTTAGCATTCATAGCATCGACAATTGGCTGACGTTTGGCATTGTATTTTTTGTTCAACTCCTCGATTTCCTTCTCCATTTCGGAGTCAATATTATTCAAACGCTGATTTAGATCGTCGAATGTGAGGAATTTCAAGAATTCAAATTCACCATCCACATAGCCGTGTGATTGTGTGTGCAGATGATGTTGCTGGTAGGCAGGTGGTTGTGGTTGTTGTTGTTGATTACGCAATAGATTTTGCTGATTATTTATGGCCAACAAGTGGTGATCACTCACCAGCGGATGACCGTAATATGCAGCTGCTGCTGCAGCCGCAGCTTGTTGCTGTTGTTGTTGCTGTTGCTGCTGTTGCAAATGATGTTGATGCTGTTGAAGGCCATACTGGTTGATAGCGGAGATTTGTTGAAATTGCATTTCCATATTGTTCTCCCAGTTCGTGTCGTTCGAATTGTTGTGATTTTGTTGTGACTGTATTAAATGTTGCTGTTGTTGCTGCTGCTGTTGTTGTTGGTGTGGTGTATTTGCTTGATACTGCTCGGTATTAGCACCAAAAGCTGTAGATTTTTCCAAATCCTCACCAATGCGTGTCGGTACCGCGGCATCACCAGGATTTTTACGTTCGAAGTGATCGAGAAATTTGGGGCGGTAGCGTGGCTTATTAAATTCGTTGCGTTTAGTCGTGGTGGAGTCATCCGAATCGGTTTTAATGACCATTGTGCCTGTAAGTGGGTAATAATAATAATTTTTTTTATATTACTTTTAACGCATAGCTTACCTAAATTCGATTCTAGTTCTATGAGCGTGCCCGAGTCTGCTGCAGCACTAACATCACCGGCTCGACCGCCTGCATTGCCTGCGCCAGTCGTGACGCCTATTGCTCGGTTATTAGGCCCCAGCGTGCCACAATCCTCCGTATGTGCTATCATGGTGGCATCGCTGTCCGTTGCCTGTTGATATTCGCCAAATTTTTCCGGCACTAAAGTGCCTGGATCGTCAATAAATGTTTTGACGGTCTCCGCTTGAAATTCATGTTCATCTTCGTGCAGCAACTCCTCTTGCTGTGTGGGCAAATTTTTGGCTTGACTCATACCACCGGTTCTATTTGCGCGCTGTTGCTCACGTATTGCACAAGTTTCTTCGATCATTTGTTTGAGTATGCTACGCGGTTTTGCGTTGCGTATAAATTCATGATTGAGCAGATCGGAAGCGGTGGCACGCTCATCGGGATTTTTTACCAGGCACAAGCTAACAAAGTCAATAAATTCAGCACTCCAGCGATCGGGTTCACGAAAAGATGGTGGTGGTTTTTGTGGTATCATGAAAATGGCACGCATGGGATGTATGTCACCATATGGTGGTTTACCTTCGGCCATTTCTAATGCGGTTATTCCTAATGACCAAATATCCGCTACACAATCATAACCGATTTCTTCAATTACTTCCGGTGCCATCCAAAATGGCGTGCCAATAACAGTATTACGTTTTGCCATCGTATCTGTAAGTTGACCTGCTACTCCGAAATCTGCCAATTTGGCATAGCCCTCTGTGTTCAGCAATATATTGCCAGCCTTTATATCACGATGTATCTTACGACGCAGATGCAAATACACTAAACCCTGTAATGTATCGGAGAGTATCGTTGCTATTTCGTCTTCGGTCAGCGTTTTCTTACGTAGACGCATTATATCTGATACACTACCAGCACCACAATATTCCATGCATATCCACAGATCATATTGCTTAAAATAGGAACCATAGTAGCGCACCACATACGGCGAATCGCATTGCTGCATTATTGAGATCTCCTTAATAATTTCATGCAGATCGGACGCTACAGGCACCAATTTAATGGCTACTATTGAGCTACTCTCTTTATGCAATGCTTTATAAACGGAGCCGTAGCTACCTTCGCCAAGTTTGCACATAATGTCAAAAACCTTTTCTGGAGGCTGTAAAAGAGATTCCTCTGAAAGTTTTTTCAACTCGGAAGACATTTCCTCGTAATTCGTACACCGGGCAGGGGGGTAAAAAATCAGCTTCTTCGCAACTGCTTACTTTTGTTTTTACAATATTTTAATTCACGTCTTTTCCTGTTTGTGTTTTTGTATTTTTTATACCACCTGGTATTTTCTAAATGTTTATGCACATTTTAATGATTTATCTGCTACTTATTTGCCATAAAAGTGAAAAATCTACAAACAGAAAGAACGAAAATGATAAAGAAAAGTGAATATTCTAAGATAGAGATCGTATTTCTTTGACTTTGCCGCAAGTGCATGTAATCGATAAGAAAAATCGAAACTGTTTAGGAACAGCAATAAGAGCGGCCAATAATTGATAAATAATCATGTATAGTAAATTTATATTTAAGGTTTTATTCATATATAATACTTTTAAATTATAAAACATTGTTGGAACAAAATTGATAGACAAAATATCAACGTACGATATACAAAAAAAGCACACGATTTTTGTTACTACAACTTTATCGCGCAATAAATCATAGTAAGTAGTCAGCTTTACTACTACCCACTGCATTCACTTTAGTTGTCATTTTTCAACAAATTTCGTGTTGTAGCAGTAGTACCTCGTGGCAACCAAACCTATATAAATAACTTAAATTTACGTCTGCAAATATAATAAATCCATAGTTCGTTACTTCTAAAACATTAATTGAAGTTACTTGCTACAAAAAAGATGGAGCAGGCAAAGACAAATGGTGAAATTGTGACCCCATCGGAACCCACAACCGGCGAGGTAGCTGCTGCTGGTCCACCAAAAACTGCTAAGCAATTGGAAAAAGAGGCTAAAAAGGCAGAAAAGTTGGCCAAATTACAAGCAAAGTTGGACAAAAAAGCGGCAGCTCCAGCAGCAACGGAGAAAAAAGAAAAACCAGAGGTCAGTGCTCAAAACAATAGCCTACCAAAAACGAAAAAACTAAATACGTACATACACATGTACTTACATATTACAATTGCAATGTTGGCACAGAAGTGAAAGTAAAAATCAACAACTACTGTGGTGCCCTTTGTTATTGTGTATCAATTACTATTTCTGCATTGTTTATTAATTGAAATTTTTACAATATTGCAGAAAAAAGTCAAGGAGACCAAAGAAGTTGCTTTATATACAGCAAATACTGCACCTGGCGAGAAGAAGGATATTACAGGCGCACTACCAGATGCTTACAGTCCACGTTATGTTGAAGCGCAGTGGTATAGTTGGTGGGAAAAGGAAGGATTTTTCACACCAGAATATGGCGTAAGTAGTCTTCAAAATGTACGATACATACAGATATGTATGTATAAATGTACTACAAACACCTATACATATATTAGCAATTAGAGAATGTGAGTCAGCTTTAGTGTTTGCATAGAGGTGCAGTACACAGGCCTACCGCAGCACTACAGCTGATGAAACTTCAATTGCAGTTTCGTCACTTACGTGCATATTCGCTGTAATGTTTATGCTGTCAGATTTGTTATTTTTCATGAAGTAAATTTTTATTGTTTATTTTCCTCCAGCGTACCAGTATATCCGAACCGAACCCCAAAGGCAAATTTGTCATGGTAATTCCACCACCCAATGTAACTGGTTCACTACATTTGGGCCATGCTCTAACTAATGCTATTGAGGATGCAATTACGCGTTACCATCGTATGAAGGGTTTCACTACGCTGTGGGTGCCAGGTTGTGATCATGCTGGCATTGCCACACAAGTGGTGGTTGAAAAGAAACTTTGGCGTGAGGAAAAACTCACACGACACGATTTGGGACGTGAAAAGTTTATTGAAAAAATATGGGATTGGCGTCGAGAAAAAGGTGTGCGTATCTACGATCAACTTAAGTGTTTGGGCTCGTCTTATGACTGGACGCGTGTGGCTTTTACGATGGATCCAAAATTATGTAAGGCTGTTACTGAGGCTTTCGTGCGTCTGCATGAGGATGGCAGCATATACCGTAGTGCGCGTCTTGTTAACTGGTCTTGCGCGCTGCGTTCAGCTATATCCGACATTGAAGTCGACAAAATTGATATACCCGGCAGAACATTTTTCTCTATACCCGGTTATGATGAGAAGGTATTTGAATTACAAAAAAACAGAAAATGTTCTATATGCTAATCACTATATTCCATTACAGATTGAATTTGGTGTTCTGATAAAGTTTGCCTACAAAATCGAGAATTCCGACGAAGAAGTTGTAGTGGCCACTACACGTATTGAAACAATGCTAGGCGATACCGCTGTGGCTGTACATCCGCAAGATGAGCGCTACAAGCATTTGCATGGCAAATTCGTGCAACATCCATTCAGCGATCGTCGTATACCAATCGTTTTGGATGACTTTGTTGATATGAATTTTGGTACGGGCGCCGTGAAAATTACACCTGCTCACGATCCTAATGATTATGAAGTGGGCAAACGCTGTAATTTACCATTCATCACAATTTTCAATGACGACGGGTACATTATCGGCGATTATGGCGAATTCAAGGGTATGAAACGTTTCGATTGTCGCAAGCGCATACTGGAAAAACTGAAAGAACTGGGTCTATATCGTGAGACAGTCAACAATCCTATGGTCGTGCCGTTCTGCAGTCGCTCCAAAGACGTAGTGGAACCCATGATCAAACCGCAATGGTATGTGGTAAAAATTCTTTTTTTTTTTCAGTACGAAATATTTTAAAATTTGCTTTAGGTATGTGAAATGCGATCAATTGGCCGCAGACGCAACTGAAGCCGTCCGCAAGGGTGACTTGAAAATCATACCGGAACATCACACTAAAATCTGGTATCACTGGATGGAGGGCATACGCGATTGGTGTGTCTCGCGTCAATTGTGGTGGGGACATCGTATACCTGCCTACCATGTGAGCTTCAATGATGACAGCATTAAAGCCGGCACGGTTAGTACTTTGTGGACATTAGCATTAACTTACTCTTATTTCTAAACTATAATTTTTTAAATTGTAATTATGCATAAGCTTACTAATACGGATGAGCGGGTAACTCATACAAATTATTTTAAAAATTTACAAAAAAAAAAAAAAATAATCTGAAATTTGAATTTCTGTTTTTGGTTTACAGACCGACGATGAGGCTTATTGGATCGTTGCGCGTACAGAGCAAGAAGCTCTTAAAAAAGCCGCTGATAGATTTAATGTGGATCCTAGCAAAATCGTCTTACACCAGGATGAAGATGTGCTAGACACGTGGTTTAGTTCCGGTCTGTTCCCCTTCTCTGTGTTCGGTTGGCCTGACAATACGGCGGACTTGGAAGCCTTTTATCCAACAACTCTGCTAGAAACTGGTCATGATATTCTTTTCTTTTGGGTTGCGCGTATGGTATTCTTTGGACAAAAGTTGCTCGGCAAATTGCCCTTCAAGGAAGTGTATTTGCATCCAATGGTACGCGATGCACATGGCCGCAAAATGTCCAAATCCTTGGGCAACGTAATCGATCCCATGGATGTTATTAGAGGCATATCACTGGAAGACTTACATAAGCTGCTGTACGATTCCAATTTGGATCCACGGGAAATTGAAAAGGCTAAAGCTGGTCAAAAGCAAGATTTTCCCAATGGCATTCCGGAATGTGGCTCTGATGCGCTGCGTTTTGCGCTCTGCGCCTATATTACTCAAGCTCGTGATATTAATCTGGATATTAATCGTGTGCAAGGCTATCGTTTCTTCTGCAACAAATTGTGGAATGCAACGAAGTTCGCATTGATGTATTTCACCGGCGAGGAGCGTTACAGATCGGATTTGCCGCTCAGTGGCAACGAAAATAATATGGATTTGTGGGTGTTATCGCGTCTGGCCACAGCCATTGAGACATGCAACACTGGTTTTGCGCAGTATGATTTCGCCGCTGTGACTAGCGCTTGCTACAGCTTTTGGTTGTACGATTTGTGTGATGTGTATCTGGAGTGCGTGAAGCCGATATTCCAAAATGGCAGTGACGCACAGAAAGCTGCTGCGCGCCGCACGCTATTCGTGTGCTTAGATTTGGGTTTGCGCATACTATCACCATTCATGCCATTCATTACCGAGGAATTATTCCAACGGCTACCACGCGCCGATACAACACCCAGCATTTCCGTGGCCGCATATCCAGGTAAGTTTTTTTTTTTGTATTTCTTTTTTACTTTTTGTGACCAAAATGTGCACATTTTTTTATTTTTTTTTTTGTTGCAGAAAACGTCATTTGGCACGACGAAAAGGTGGAGAAAGATGTTGATTTCATGCAGAAAGCAGCGCGTATTATACGCTCAGCACGTTCCGACTACAATCTTCCCAATAAAGTAAAGACCGAGGCGTACATTGTTTGCACCGATGAGCAGCCTAATGCGATACTCAAAAAATATGCCAGCGATTTGACCACAATTGCCTACTGTTCAAAAATCGAATTTGACACTCAACCGCCAGCGGGTTGCGCCATACTCACTGTGAGTGCGCAATGTGAAGTGCATTTGTTGCTGAAGGGTCTCATCGAATCGGAGAAGGAAATTACGAAGTTGCAAAAACGTAAAGAACAGTTAGACCAAACTGTGCAAAAACTGAAGCAAGCTATGCAGGCGGTTGATTATGCAACAAAAGTGCCGGCTGAAGTGCAAACGGCCAATACAGAGAAACTGCAGCAGTCGGAGGGTGAAGTGCAACGCATAATTGCCGCAATTGAGACACTGAAATTAATGTAAATGGCTGATAGATAGCCTCTGCACATAACTACGACTTTAGCACTATGCATTTATGCCTACCGCCTAGATTTTGTTTTTTTTTTTTAGCTTCAACATTTTTTCTGTTTTATTTATTTTGTGTATAAGCTATTTGGCATAAAAGTTAGTGAAGAAGATAAATATGGAATGGTGCTTTCAATGAATGATATTTTTTATAGCAATTGCTATTAAACAATGTTAACTTTATTAAAAACTTAACTTACTACAGAAATATCAAAGATAATTAATTTTGTTTTAAATAATTTTTTATGCAAATATATTTATGTGAGTATACACTTAGCGACGGTTACACATTTAAAAGGTGTTCGATTTGTTTCAATACGTCTCCAAGAACAATATGAACCATTACAAATGTTGAGAATAAGTGTTGAAAATATATACGAAACTGTGCATTTTTTATGAGTTATGTTTCACTTAAAGCGACTAATTTTCACAAATATTTTAGTGTATGTATGTACATTTTGAATTGTTAAAATTTTCGGTTTGAAAATCAGTCTACTTGGAGGCTCTCACTTCAATTTTGCAATTTGGTAACGCTTGCCGCAGTTTACTAGCCACGCCTTGTATATCTTTCACATATAACAAATCGAACAAACGTAACTGTTCCAACGCCGTCAATTGAGCTACTACATCAAAGCAGCTGTCTCTCAGATTATAGCAACCAGAAACTTGTAATCTTTTAAGCGTGTTTTTCAAATGTACTAAACCATCAAGACCTCCATCTTCCAGATGCTTACAGTTGTCAAATATAACTGTATCTATATGCCGACAACCGGCAAAATGATCGAGTCCCATTTTCATAATAGATGCATTAGTGGCATCAATGACTTGCAGATAGAATTTTACCGACTCAGGTGGGAGACTATTATAGTCCTTAAGTACCCGATTTTGCATGCCTACTAAACCGACTGCACCACCATTTTTTAATATCCATTCTGCACACAGCCGCTCCGGTCCCACTTTGGATAGTCGCTCACTGTCAACTTTGTTGAACGCAATTGCTACGTAACCCCACAGTTCACGTTTTTGTAAATTGTCGCTTTTAAGTTTGTTCAGCAAATTGATCCTATTATTTGCAGAAACACTATTAAAAGTGCGTTGACATTGCCAAATTAAATTTGTTTTAGATATTGTTCGTAAAATAAACATTTCGTTTGAATAACTGATGCAATAAGAACACCATACATAAGTGTTGTAAATTGTGCGTCAAAATCATATGGGTTGTGTTTATGTTCGTTTGTTTTGATTCGATTGTGTTACCAACTACAAAATTTATTTGTGACACGACATTTCGTTTAACTTTGAGAATGAAAGTAAGTTTTTAACAAGATACCTTAAAATTTAGCTGGAAATGATATTTGACAAACTGTAATAATATTATAATAGTAAATTGATTTGAAATTATAGAAAAACGGTATTTTAAAAACAATAAAAAGACTACAGCACTGATTTATCAATCATTGCCACATTTGCGCAATAGAAAAAATCTAAGCAATGAAATTTAATATAAAGCAAAAATAAAGATTTGTAAAAATAAATTTTCATAAAATATTAGCTTTTTGCTAAAAATATTTAATTTTTATATCTCAATAATATAAATAATACATTCTTACAATGTGTGATGTTTCGCTGAGCTCATCAACGTGGCAACTACTGTTAGTAATTTTCGTTCTTTGATTTTAGATTTACGTGAAAAGTTTGCTGCCCTCTATTTTGTTGATTATAAAATATTTCAATGAGAAATAAACCAATAAAAGTGAATAAACTTATAAAATAAATGAAAATTATTAAAATATTGTACAAGTGTTTGATATTAGTAAGGATATCGAAGTGAAATCTTCATTAAAATGAATTAAATTTTGTCTACGCTGTGAATCGAACAATGTAAAGCGAAAAGTGTATGGGCAAAAGCAATTGAGAAAAAAACAAAATCAGTGCAAAAGCAAAAATAACTAGAAAAAAAGAACGCAATCCAAACGTAGGAAGAAAAACGGAATCTCGCTGTTTTGCTTACGTCGGCATCGACGTCGACGTTCCGTATTGTTTTTCGTTTTATGTTGTATTGTTGTTTTTGTTTTCGCACCAAGCGGATGCGGTGGGCAGCTAGCAAATACAATACCTCCGCGGCAATACCGAACAAGCAGATTTAAACGAGAAAGTGCCCAAAAGAGGAGAACAAAAATACACATATAAGTGCATACACATACACAAACACTTGCGCACAGAAAAAGAAGAAAAGGCGAAATCAAATCAAATTAAATGGTTGAATGTGAGGTGCTATTTTTGTTGTATTCGTCTGTGGTGCATTCACACTTTCGAGTGTGCAACTGCTGTGTAGGATAGAAGTAGAGGCAGTGGCATCAATACCAACAACGACAAAAACAATTGAGTGGTGTACTGAGAGAATAGCAGCTTGCTATTCTTGTTCTTTTTTTCTTTGGCTTCGAGTGTAGAAATTCAGTGGGAGTATGTGTGTGTATGCAGCAACAGCGAAGTGAAAATCAGGCAAATGAAAATGATTACGAAGCGGGCGGACAAACATTGTCGACGACACAGAGGCTGCGGCAGTCAGTGTGGCGTTGTTGTTTAATACGTTTATATCGTTATTGAGAATTGGGCGTAATTGTAATTTTCTTCGCGCATAAAAAGTACCACAAACTATCCTTAAGTGTTGTGTGAAAAACCTATAAGATACATGAAAATATTAAAAATATGTTTATCGATGTGAAATATGTGTTGTTATAAAAAAAATATACAAATTTGAGGAAAGTAACGAATTCAATAAGTTTTATAAAAATTATTTGTGTTCAGTTCTAATTTGCAATAATTCAATTGCTGATTTGTGTAAAGTATACAATAAGGATTTTTTCTTCAAGGAAATAAATGAAATTTTTATTGAATAAATAAACGGCGCAACTATTGGAATTGATGGTGAGCATGTTACATATAATTTGTGCAACTTCATATTTTCGTTTCTACAAATTTGTTGTAATGGAAAATTATGGGGTTAAAAGATAAGGGGATGAAACAAACCTAAATCATGCTTCTGTCATCTTTTTTAGCAAACACAGCATTAAATGCTTTGAAATTTAAGATGAGAAAAATTCTATAGTGGTGCAAATGTTATGGGGATGTCATTTTTATTCGGAAAAGTGGAGCTGTCATTATTTATTCCTTTTATCTTTTACATTTATCTTAAATATCATTGAATTGTGAAAGCATTTAGCTTTAGGTTAGACATATTATACATATTTCAGTTTTTTTTTTTTTAATTTTTGTGAACATTATTTAATCTTCATAAGCGAAAATTTCTGGCTTTGCCTACAGTCTCATGTCATATACTCTAAATTCTTGAAATATTTTATAAGCTTTCGTGTTAAATTTAAAAATTGTACCAAAGTGTGTTACAAATTAAAAAAAAAACTACAAATGCATAAATTAAAAATTATAACCGCACATAATCATTATGAGTCCATCCAATAAATGGAAAATATAGTACAAATGTGGGCTATCTAGTACATGGTTTTCATATTGCGTATCTTCCTACATGACAATTATTATTTTAAAGTTTTATTTAGTGCTGTGTAGGATGAAGGTTGAGCAAAGAAAAAAAAGCAACAAAGAATGTTAACTTCGGTTGGATCAAAGCCAGAATACCATTCACACATAAAACACTTTGTATACATGCTATACTTGTAGGTGTGATCTGAGTTTTTTTTTTTTAATATTGTAGCGTGGTCTGAGATATTATTGTATTATATCTTCAGATAAAAAAAAAAAATCCATACCAGGACTTTATTGTGACCCTTCAGTTTGTACGGAAGCTTTAAATGTGTACAGTGAGCTCTCCTGACACCAATGCTCAGATATTTTAGAATGCCTTGAAGAGTGTTCTATTTTCGATTTTGTGATATCTCGTCATATTAAGAAGTTTTGCATACAAGAAATAGATTTCGAGAATCTTTTTTTTTTAGGAAAGGACATGTGCAAAATTTCAACTGTCAAAATCTCAAAAAAAAAAGGCCGACTAAATGGCTAATTCGACACTGATCATTTATGTATATGTATACACATTTTATAGGCTCCCACACGTTTCTTTCTAAAGCTTCTTGTTAAGGGTATAGCAATGAAAATTGTTCACTTCAGCATCTACATATTACACCAACAAAACACAGACAAGTCCAACAACGGAAATTTATAGTGTGAAAGGCAACGACAGTTTCACCACCCGACAGCCGACAACCAGCCGAGAACCTTACAGCTCGTTTCTACCAAACTGTGCGGAGTATGTGCTGGCTTAGCTCAACGCTGCATGAACTTCATATGGAGTTTAATATGTAGCACGTGGAAAAATACATACATACATGCTTATGTTAAATACATACATATGTATATATCAAGTAGACTTGGCTTTAAGTTCGACTCTTTCGGCTGTTGCTCAATCATTTTTGAGCTTGCTGAAGACTAGCAACAACACCAAAAATATAACAATGCCTACAATACAATAGGCATACAAAAAGAACCTCATAGTGGTCTTTTCCAGTGAATTGCAATGAAGGTGTGAAGAAAACACCAAAAACTCGTCGAATGTGCGATTGTACCTACACTTTATATTATAACAAAAATAAAAACACATACAAAAAAGAAGCAAGGAGGTAGTTCAATAAAAACCTTGGTAAGGAACGTTGGAGAGGTGCGAAGCAGCAAAAGAAAACAAAACAGCGACTTCACAGCCATTAAAATAAAAGTACGAGTTGTGAGTTCAAAACAGCGGGATCGCTGTGGGCATAGCATCGAAGAGCGGACTCTTGTGTGCTGCTACTTATCCGAAGTTCTATAGGTGCTGCTGGCCGCCGAACATACATACAATTTTGTAGCACATGTGTATATATGTATGTATGTTCATGGCTTAAACAGCCCGTATGCTACATATGTATGTTGGTATGTATATCAACTGCAAAATGAATAGATTCGTATCCTCAAAAAGATACAATGAGCAGTGGAAATGGATTTCCGACACCCGCCTGCAGCTGTGACGGATTTTTTCTTTTTCGCCTATTACCGGCAATAAATTGAAAGAAAAGCAATACATCTGGAAATATAACAACAAAAAAAAAATCAAGTTAAATGGTTTACCACACTAAGCGGCCGTCTCTTGGTATATATTTCGGTTTAGGTGAAACCAGCGAAATTTGAAAGAGACCAAAAATCTTTCTTATTACTTTAAATATGCAAAATTTAAAACATTTTAATAAACGGTGATTTAATTTTAACCATATTGATTCCCTGGAACCCGTGTCCAATGTCCCAGAGAACCTCCGAAATTATCCCATATTTTCAACGTACTACCGCGACAATAAAATATATGGCCCGTACATTATGCATATAGTTCGCGCAATACGTCGCCACTCCAGCCGAGTAGCCGAAAAGGAACCTCCATGGTCCCATGAAGCAGAAGGTCAAGAACTACGACCAAATTTCCCTGCTGACGGCAGCTCGATCCCTGGGATCTCGATTTGGAGTTTTGCCAGCTGGTAGATCAAAATAAGCGGACAACATGGGTGAGCATCTGAAGTCATGTTATCTCTCCGCCGGAGTGTGCAAGCTTTGGACTATTGTCAAAATCCTTTTAAATACTAGGAGATCAGCAAATAACCGTGTGAAATTCAACTCGATTGTCGTTCCTCCTCGGATCCGAAGAAATGTGCGTGGTACTCTAGCCGAAAATTTATACTGCAACATTCGGTGGTTAAGGCGAAAAGATGTTAGATCCTAAAAACAGTACTAGATTCTCGAAATAACAGCTTTTGAACAGATAAAATCCGAGTCACCTAAGGTATCATAAAACCGGTTGTTGAGGGAATTTTAGTATTAACGTATTACTTACCGATCCAAACAGGGTTAGATGCTCGAAATAATAGCTCTTGGCTGTATAAAATCAATTCCGGGATCGGATTTTTCACTGACCACCGTTCATATAATCGATGTGTTTATAATCGGAACGGTGGACCCACTGCTGAAATCTGGGAATCGTGAGGTATTTTATCGTTCGCTAACTCTCCTTTCCCCAGTAGTGAAAACACTTCAGTCTTTGCTATTCCCGACCTTCACACATCATTTGAGCCTAGCCGAAAACCAACACGACTTCCGTATAGCTAAAAGTTAGATTAAAGAGAATTAAACAGGGGTTCCGTTGGGTAGTGCACTCTCCCCGTTTAATCACCACATGGCGAAGCTTCCACAACCACCAGAATGAGTTTCTTTCACCTCATCAGTACCAAAAAATCTGCTGTCTTACAAACCAACCGGTCATAATCAAGCAATTCATCTTTTTATAACCTTTAAGTTATAAGAAATGCTCCCTTGAGGGGTATTAAGCGTCGATGTAGCTGAAGTTAACGTGAATGTATGTTGATTAGAGCGGATTTATTTATAGAGTTCCAAAAACGGAAAAATAGCGTATTTTGAAGAACATTGCTTAGGAGAGACTACGGGTCTAAAGCTGGTTTCGAACCATCGATTTTGAAGACGAAGTTTTTTTTAGGTATGTTTTGATATTATATTGATTATATATCGAAATCGGTCGGATCGGGCAACTATATCATATATCTGCCATACAACCGATCATTCAGATTTTTAAAACTTTGGCTTAAAAATCATCGGCTCGATACCGGTTTTAGACCCATAGTCTCTTCGTTGTTAAGAATGATCCCTAGATCCATTTCTCATATATGATTTTATACATAGGAAAAAAATCGACCCGCTCTAATGTATACATATACATACGAAAATGCATATCTTTGTGTATGAGTTTGCTCTTTCAAAACGCTGGCGCATTATATCTCAAAAATTAAAGTGAGTCTTGTATAAACTTCAAAGTCATCAGAGCATTCTAGTAGCATGTTTTTTTTTTTTTTTTGTAGTTTTGCTTGATAATCCTCCTCATTGACAATGAATACTATTTATTATATGTGGCTGTTGGTCGCCATAATCTCTAATCGTCTATGTATCACAATCAATGTCATCTTATACCAATCTATACACCTACATACACAAACACACACTTACCTACGTTTACTTATACATTGCATTTCATTGTGTCGCCTGATTTTTTGATGTTACTTAGTTGAGCTGATGGCTGTAGTTTCAGCTGTGCGTTGCGTCGCCGCTTACTTGCCGTCGTACCCATGTCCCTACAAGAGACAATATAATCCCGTATTTTTGTTTTGTTACTGCATTTTATTGTTGTCGTCGTTGCATGCGGGCACACAACTTGGGCATATTTTGACCATTTGTTGTGCGTTGGATTTCAGTTCAGTCCGGTTTGATTTGTTCCATGACCAATGGATCTACAATGCCTTCAACCTTCGCTTACATATGTTCAAGCATGCATACATACACATATGTATACACACATATGTAGATTGATGTACACACATGTGTGTGCAATTGTACTATATGTAGGTACAATGGTATGACGGACAATACCACTCGGGGAGTGTAGTTTTTGTCTGATCGCCACTTTTTCGTGGCATTCATTTCCAGCGAATTCTTTTCCCAACTTTTTCATTATACCTTTTGTTAGCTGTCAGCTTTATTTGGCTCCTTTCAAATCTGGTTATATTTGGTGGGTCTGGTTGTTGTTGTTGTTCGTATTATTGTTATTGTTGATATATTGTTATTGTTGTTGTTGGTATTGCCTTAACGCTTAACTTCTTGGCCGTGCTGAATCTTGATACCTTCTTTGTAAATTCTTTTTCTCTTTGAAGCTACGCTTTTTATTTGGATGCTTCAGCAGCTGGTTGGAGGTTTGTTTGTTGGTGTTGCCGTTGTGCCTGCTGGTTGTTATTGGTAAGCGTCACTTGAAGGTGTGAAGAAAAGAATTCTTAATCTTGATGCGACGTGATTCTGCATTGACTTCGGTATAAAAA